AGTTATATTTTTATCCCACATTCTGTTAAATTGACGTATCAAATTGTACATATTGAACTATATTTGTATCTCAGAGATCACAGTATATAATTGTTTTAACATGCTGTCAAATTAGGTTTGCTAGTATTTTGTTGTGGATTTTTGCATCTTTGTTTTCCAGGAATTTTGGCCTGTAATTTTCTTTGCTTGTAGTGTACTTGTCTGCCTAGCAGGGTAATGCTGACCTTATAAAATTAGTTTGTAAATGTTCCCTCTCATTCAATTTCTTTTTGAAGCTTGTGAGAAAGATTAACAATTTTTCTACTGTAAATGTTAGTTAGAGTTTGCCAGCATATCCATCAGGTCCTGGACTCTTTCTTTGTTAGGAGTTTTTGATTACTGATTTCATCTCATTACTCTTTATTTGTCTCCTCTTAGTTTAATTTTTTTCATGGTTTAATATTGTTGGATGTATGTTTCTGGGAATTTATCCATTTCTTTTAGGTTATCCAATTTGTGCATAATTGTTCATAGTCTCTTATGATCCTTTGTTTTTCTTTGTTACCAGTTATAATGTCTTATAATTATACTTATCTGAGAGTCATCTCTCCTTTTTTCTGTCATATAACTGAAGATTTGTCAGTGTTATCTTTCCAAAATCAAATCTTAGTTTTGTTGATCTTTCTGTTGTCATTCTAGACTCTATTTCATTTTTTTCTGCTCGACTTTGTATTTAGTTGCTCTTTTCTAGTTATTTGAGGTATAATATTAGATTGTTCATTTGAAATATTTCTCTTTTTTTAAATGTAGGCACTTGTCGCTATAAACTTCCCTTTTAGAACTGCTTTTACACCATCTCATAAGGGTCATATGTCGTTTTTTCCATTTTCACTTGTGTCAAGATACTTTTTCACTTTCTTTTTTGATTCCTTCTCTGACTCAGTATTCAGGAATATGTTGTTTAATTTCTACGTATTTGTAAATTTGGGATTTTTCTCCTGTTATTTATTTCTAATTTAATACCATTGTGAGTGGAAAGGATGTTTAATATTATTTCAGTCTTCTTAAATTTGTTAAGGCTTATTTTGTAGTCTAACATAGGATCTATGCTAGAAATTGTTTTATGTTCATTTTTAAAGAGTATATATTCTGTTGCAGTTCATTGAAATGTTAGGTTTATATTTGATAGGTTCATTTGGTGTTGTTAAAGTTGGCTGGGTCCTTATGGTTTTCTGTCTGGATGACCTGTATATTGTTGAAAGTGAGATGTGGAAATCCTCTACCATTACTATATTGCCGTCTGTCTCCCTTCAAATCTGGTAATATTTGCCTCATGTACTTAGGTGCTTCAATGTTGGCTGCATATACATTATAATAGTTATAGCCACTTGATGAATTGAAACCTTTGTAATTATATAATGACCTCTCTTGTGACAATTTTTGACTTAAAGTCGATTTTTTTTTTGTTTCTTGTTGTTTTTAATTGTACTTTAGGTTCTGGGGTACATGTGCAGATCATGCAGGATTGTTGTGTAGGTACACACATGGCAACATGGTTTGCTGCCTCCATCTCCCCGTCACCCACATCTGGCATTTCTCCCCATTTTATCCCTCCCTGATTTCTTTAACACCCTGCTGTCCTTCCTTGCCCCCTAAACAGACCCCAGTGTGTGATGCTCCTCTCCCTGTGTACGTGTTCTCATTGTTTAACACCTGCCTATGAGTGAGAATATGCAGTGTGATTTTCTGTTCTTCTGTCAGTTTGCTGAGAAGGATGGTTACCAAATTCATCCATGTTCCCACAAAGGAAACGAACTCATCATTTTTTATGGCTGCATAGTATTCCACGGTGTACATGTGCCACATTTTCCTTGTCCAGTCTATCGTAGATGGGCATTTGGGTTGGCTTCCAAGTCTTTGCTATTGTAAACAGTGCCACTATTAACATATGTGTACATGTGTCTTTATAATAGAATGATTTATAATCCTTTGGGTATATACCCAGTAATGGGATTGCTGGGTCAAATGGAATTTCTATTTCTAGGTCCTTCAGGAATCGCCACACTGTCTTCCACAATGGCTGAACTAGTTTACACTCTCACCAACAGTGTAAAAGTGTTTCTATTTCTCCACATCCTCTCCAACATCTGTTGTCTCCATATTTTTTAATGATCACCATTCTAACTGGCAATCTCAGTATGGTTTTGATTTGCATTTCTCTAATAATCAGTGATGATGAGCATTTTTCAATATGTTTGTTGGCCTCATATATGTCTTCTTTTGAAAAACGTCTGTTCATATCCTTCTCCTACTTTTGGATGGGTTTGTTTTTTTTCTTGTAAATCTGTTTTAGTTCTTTGTAGATTTTGAATATTAGCTCTTTGTCAGATGGGTAGATTGCAAAAAATTTTTCCCATTCTGTTGGTTGTGGGTTCGCTCTAATCATTGTTTCTTTTGCTGTACAGAAACTCGGGAGTTTGCTTAGGTCCCGTTTGTCTATTTTGGCTTTTGTTGCCAATGCTTTTGATGTTTTGGTCATGAAGTCCTTGCCTATGCCTATGTTCTAAGTGGTTTTGCCTTGGTTTTCTTCTAGGGTTTTTATGGTGTTAGGTATTATGTTTAAGTCTTTAATCCAATCTGGAGTTGATTTTAGTGTAAGGTGTTAGGAAGGGGTCCAGTTTCTGTTTGCAAATTGTTAGGCAGTTTTTCCAACACCATTTATTAAACAGGGAATCCTTTCCCCATTGGTTGTTTTTGTCAGATTGTTAAAGATCAGATGGTTGTAGATGTGTGAGGTTGCCCCCAAGACCTCTGTTCTGTAATTTTGTTTGATATGTGTATAGACACCTATGCTCTTCTTTGATTACATTTTTAATGGAAAATCTTATTCTGTACTTTCGTATTTAGCCTATATGTTTCCTTATAGCTAATGTGAGTTTCTTGTAGGGAGCATAGAGTTAGATCTTTTTGAACATTTATTAAGATTGCAGTGTTTTCTCTTTCTCCAAACACAGTAAGTTTGGACTCACGGGACTTCACTGTGCTAACCAGGATGGACTCAGTCTCCTAGCCTCATGATCTGCCCATCTCAGCCTCCCAATGTGCTAGGATTAGAGGCCTGAGCGACCTCCCCAGCCAAGAAGTAACTATTATTATACCAAGGCTATCTGAAAATATCTCAATTTTTAATTAACAGCTTGACATGGCACTGAATTTTAGACTTATTACCATTTTCTCCCCGAAGTTTGAAGGTATGATATCTAACTTCCAGTACTGCTGTGAAAAGTCTGGGCACATGACTATGTTTACCAATCCTTGTAATTTGAATTTTTTTAGTTTTGCATCCTTCAAAAGAGCTCTCTGTCTCTGGTATTCTGAAATGTCCTCACGATGTTCTTTGATGTGGATCTAATTTCAACCACTGACCTAGGTACTAAGTGAACTGTTTCAAACTGGAAACTTATGCCTTGGCACATTTTCTTGAGTTAATTATCTCATGTATATCCTCTCGTTTTCCATTTTCTTTTTCTTAAACTTCTAATGTTTGAATAATGAGTTATCATCCTCTTTGATTTGACCTGAAGTTTTCTTATCTTATTTCCTAATTTCTTTCACTTAATCATTTCACCCTGATTCCCTAGAAAATTTCTAAACTTTATATTATAATCCTTTTAATATATCAAAAACTGTTGAGCAATTCTTATATATCAGGCACTGTAAAATATTTGTTTCCCATAAAAGACAATTCCTTGCATATATCTACTATATTTGGTTTTGGTTTTCTCAATCTTTCCACTAATTTGATTTTTATTTTCTCTTCTTTAATCTGTACCCACTTGCTAGGCCCATACTTATTCTAAGTTTCCTTCCACTGATGCATTGAATAATTTATGACTCTGTTACTTCGGCACTACTTGTCCTCTTATATTAGCCTCCTCTTTCAACATGCTTTGGGTTTCCTATCAGGTGGTACCCCACTTCATTCTTTGAGACGTCTTTCCTAATTTTCACTGGGTCTGAATCAGAACTTTATCAGTAATTTTTCAGCCCTTGTTGACTTCACTTTCCTTATGGTTAATTTCACACTGAAGTTCATTATTGTTACCTTTTTTTGTATGGTTGCCATCAAGAGGCATGCTTTTCTTTGTTATTAACAAAAGCCAGTAATTAGTAACTTATATGTTTTGAAGGAAAGAAACAATTTTACATGATAATTTTTCTGATATTTGGTAAATCAAGGAGACTTTTTAGAGCCCTTTCAATTCTTAAGGTGATTCTTAGCCTTGAGATTTCTGCTCTAGATTTCTACCCACTGGCTCATGGATCTGATCATTTGAGTTCTGTGATTGAAGCATCACTTTCTAATCTGGCCACTTCTGCAGAGTCAGAAACTGGCATCAAATAACATATATGCTTCCAGATTCATGCAAGTATTTCATTACGTAAATTTTTACAACTTCCTTTGTAGGAGCAAATCATTGCACACTACATTTTATTTTCTACCTATTCAAATATGTTTCAAATTATTCATTTATTCATGTATTCCAGTTATTCATTAAGTAGGGGGTGTGTGTGTGTGTGATGTTAAATGAGTGAAAAATAATGCATACAAAGATTAGCCTTAAAATGTTGTTTTATACTATTATACATCTGAAATGAGCTGTAAGGACTACATAGCTCAAAGAAGGGAGGAGTAGGGCATGATTGCTGTCTCATTTTAATGTCTCTCTGGGCCTGGTAATTAAAAGCACTTTACATTCTTCAGATAAGTGGTTTTTTTTCCTTTTCTCAGAGTTTATTTAAGAGAAGGCTACAATTGTTGAGACTGCTTTTCTATAAGACTTGTGAAATGTGGGAGGAGAGGACTACTGTTTCTTTGTAATGTAATTTTATAAACTATTGGATCTTTTAAACAGTGTGATAAGCAACCTCAATAAATATAAAGGTAATGTAACTGAAATATAAGGAATATTATAATACATACAAAGAAAAAGATATAATTGTTGTTTTTCTTATTACAGATTCCTAACCTGAAAATCTGAAATCTATAGTGCTCCAAAATCTGAAACCTTTTGAGCAACAACATGACACCACGTGTAAGAAATTCCACTTGTGAGTACTTAACACAAACTTTGTTTCATGAGCAAAACTTACAATAGTTTGTAGAATTAACTTCAGGCTGTATATATAAGGTATATATAAAGCATAACAGAATTTTACATTTAGTTTGGGGTTCCATTCCCAAGATAGCTCATGTATATGTAAATATTCCCAAATCTGAAAAAATCAGAAATCCAAAACACTTCTTGGCCCAAGCGTTTTGGATAAGGATACTCAAACTGTCAGTTGAAAATAAAATATTTTTCTTTGATAGTTTTACATGCCACAAATTTTTCTGACTCCAAACAAGCCCATGTAACTATTGCTTCACAGATGTGTGATTTGAAGCTTAGCAGAAAACCTGTCTCCCACTTTTTCCATATTGTTTTCTAGGTATAATGCAGATAACTTGTAAAATAACATTCTAGGGTGTAATATATAAATCCTGCCTAAGCAAAAGCAAAAGGCGCAGGAAATAACAATAGGTATAACTTCTAACTGGCTAACTCATGCTTCTCTCCAAGGGAAAAGCCAAAAATGTGCCCCGTGAATTATGGGTAAGACTCTGTGGAAGACAAGAGCAACCTAAGACAGGCACAGCTGTAGGGCAGCGACCAATAGCTAAATTTATACAAAAAGCCAGTCTGCTCCCATGAAGGAATCGAGAAGCACTACAAGCAGATGCAGCAGCAGCGTCATTGACAGGAAAGTACGTTGCAGGGAGGCCAGCAAAGGCTAAATTCATACCGGGAGCAGATGTACTAGCAGTGTAATTGACAGACAATCAAGTTGCTTGTATGCCTCCCAGGTGGATGGCTGGTTAGCCAATGACAGATAAGACTCTGAGGGATGAGAGCAACCTAAGACAGGCACAACCACGGGGATGCCAGCCAAGGCTAAATTCATACCGGGAGCAGATGAACCAGCAGCGTACTTGACAGGCAGACAAGTTGCCTGTGTGCCCCCCAGGTGGATGGCTGGTTAGCCAATGACAGGTAAGACTCTGAGAGATTAGAGCAACCTAAGAAAATTCATTCTGGGAGCAGATGCACCAGCTGCGTACTTGACAGGCAGACAAGTAAGTTGCCTGTGTGCCCCCCAGGTGGATGGCTGGGTAGCCAATGACGGGTAAGACTCTGAGAGATGAGAGCAACCTAAGACAGACACAGCCGCAGGGAGGCCAGCAAAGGCTAAATTCATACCGGGAGCAGATGCACCAGCAGCGTACTTGACAGGCAGACAAGTTGCCTGTGTGTTCCCCAGGTGGATGGCTGGTTAGCCAATGACGGGTAAGACTCTGAGCGATTAGAGCAACCTAAGACAGGCACAGCCACGGGGATGCCAGCCAAGGCTAAATTCATTCTGGGAGCAGATGCACCAGCAGCATACTTGACAGGCAGACAAGTAAGTTGCCTGTGTGCCCCCCAGGTGGATGGCTGGTTAACCAATGACGGGTAAGACTCTGAGAGATTAGAGCAACCTAAGACAGGCACAGCCACGGGGATGCCAGCCAAGGCTAAATTCATACCAGGAGCAGATGCACCAGCAGCGTACTTGACAGGCAGAAAAGTTCCCTGTGTGCCCCCAGGTGGATGGCTGGTTACCAATGATGGGTAAGACTCTCTGAAGGACGAGAGCAACCTAAGACAGGCACAGCCGCGGGGAGGCCAGCGAAGGCTAAATTCATTCTGGGAGCAGATGCACCAGCAGCGCACTTGACAGGCAGACAAGTAATTTGCCTGTGTGCCCCCCAGGTGGATGGCTGGTTAGCCAATGACGGGTAAGACTCTCTGAGAGATTAGAGCAACCTAAGACAGGCACAGCCACAGGGAGGCCAGCAAAGGCTAAATTCATACTGGGAGCAGATGCACCAGCAACGTACTTGACAGGCAGACAAGTTGCCTGTGTGTTCCCCAGGTGGATGGCTGGTTAGCCAATGACGGGTAAGACTCTGAGAGATTAGAGCAACCTAAGACAGGCACAGCCACGGGGATGAGATGCACCAGCAGCGTACTTGACAGGCAGACAAGTAAGTTGCCTGTGTGCCCCCCAGGTGGATGGCTGGTTAGCCAATGACGGGTAAGACTCTCTGAAGGACGAGAGCAACCTAAGACAGGCACAGCCACGGGGATGCCAGCCAAGGCGAAATTGATACCGAGAGGAGATGCACCAGCAGCGTACTTGTCAGGCAGACAAGTAAGTTGCCTGTGTGCCTCCCAGGTGGATGGCTGGTTAGCCAATGACGGGTAAGACTCTGAGAGATTAGAGCAACCTAAGACAGGCACAGCCACGGGGATGCCAGCCAAGGCTAAATTCATACCAGGAGCAGATGCACCAGCAGCGTACTTGACAGGCAGAAAAGTTCCCTGTGTGCCCCCCAGGTGGATGGCTGGTTACCAATGACGGGTAAGACTCTCTGAAGGACGAGAGCAACCTAAGACAGGCACAGCCGCGGGGAGGCCAGCGCGAAGGCTAAATTCATTCTGGGAGCAGATGCACCAGCAGCGCACTTGACAGGCAGACAAGTAATTTGCCTGTGTGCCCCCCAGGTGGATGGCTGGTTAGCCAATGACGGGTAAGACTCTCTGAGAGATTAGAGCAACCTAAGACAGGCACAGCCGCAGGGAGGCCAGCAAAGGCTAAATTCATACCGGGAGCAGATGCACCAGCAACGTACTTGACAGGCAGACAAGTTGCCTGTGTGTTCCCCAGGTGGATGGCTGGTTAGCCAATGACGGGTAAGACTCAGAGATTAGAGCAACCTAAGACAGGCACAGCCACGGGGATGCCAGCCAAGGCTAAATTCATTCTGGGAGCAGATGCACCAGCAGCGTACTTGACAGGCAGACAAGTAAGTTGCCTGTGTGCCCCCCAGGTGGATGGCTGGTTAGCCAATGACGGGTAAGACTCTCTGAAGGACGAGAGCAACCTAAGACAGGCACAGCCACGGGGATGCCAGCCAAGGCGAACCGAGAGGAGATGCACCAGCAGCGTACTTGTCAGGCAGACAAGTAAGTTGCCTGTGTGCCCCCCAGGTGGATGGCTGGTTAGCCAATGACGGGTAAGACTCTGAGAGATTAGAGCAACCTAAGACAGGCACAGCCACGGGGATGCCAGCCAAGGCTAAATTCATACCAGGAGCAGATGCACCAGCAGCGTACTTGACAGGCAGAAAAGTTCCCTGTGTGCCCCCCAGGTGGATGGCTGGTTACCAATGACGGGTAAGACTCTCTGAAGGACGAGAGCAACCTAAGACAGGCACAGCCGTGGGGAGGCCAGCAAAGGCTAAATTCATTCTGGGAGCAGATGCACCAGCAGTGTATTGACAGGCAGACAAGTAAGTTGCCTGTGTGCCCCCCAGGTGGATGGCTGGTTAGCCAATGATGGGTAAGACTCTGTGAAGGACAAGAGCAACCTAAGACAGGCACAGCCGCGGGGAGGCCAGCAAAGGCTAAATTCATTACTTGACAGGCAGACAAGTAAGTTGCCTGTGTGTCCCCCAGGTGGATGGCTGGTTAGCCAATGACGGGTAAGACTCTCTGAAGGATGAGAGCAACCTAAGACAGGCACAGCCACGGGGATGCCAGCCAAGGCGAAATTGATACCGAGAGGAGATGCACCAGCAGCATACTTGACAAGCAGACAAGTTGCCTGTGTGCCCCCCAGGTGGATGGATGGTTAGCTAATGACGGGTAAGTCTCTCTGAAGGACGGAAGCAACCTAAGACAGGCACAGCCCTTGGGAGGCCAGCAAAGGGTAAAGTCATATCAAAAGCCATTCTGCTCCTAAGTACAGGAGCAGCGATAGGAGCAAATACACATGCAAGGTAATTCCCAGGCAAGGATGTTGCCAATGAGGAGACTTGGACTCTGCATTCTGTGCATAAAACAGATGTAAAAGCTTTCTGATAATAGTATCTAGATTTTAAAGGGAAGCTGGGCAAAATGTGGAAGAAAATGAAAATTAAATGCAATAGTAGATAGTTTCTATAGTATGTATGTATGTGGTAGTTAAATAAAAGTACAAATAAAGCAGAATGGGAACCCCTCTCTTTACATAGATAAGCTCACCAGAGCACATCTTTGGGTCTGTAACCAGCACATTTCTGCATTTCCTTATTTTCTGATTTTCCTGGATCACCTCCCCCCACCTTTTTACCCCTTACCTCAACTGCAAGTTTATGGAGTCAAATGATCAGGATGCTTAATTTTGTAAAACCTGATTGTCATCTGAAACCGACTTCCTGCCTCAACTTCCAGCCTCAAACAGCATATAAGTTGGACTGCCTCCTTTGTTAGGCTTCCTGACCATTTTAGGTATGAGCCTGCTGCCATCCTGGGTGCATCTGTAATAAAGTTCTCTTCTGTCTCAAAAGGAAAGAAAAAGATTGGTTAACTTTCATATACCGAACACATTTAGATTCAACAGTTTATATTAGTTTTATCTATGTCTGCCTCTAGCCATCTTTTCGACTGAACCATTTAAAAATAACTTGCAGTTGCAATAAAATTTTATTTTCAAACACTTCAGGATGTATATTCTAAGAATGTCAACATAGGTTTTGAAGGAAATCAAGACCAAATGTGTTTCACTTAGTGATATAGGTAGGCTGTATTAGACCCCTCCTACCATATAATACCTTCCATGTTCTTATTTGATATTTATTGCTTGGAACATTCCAACATATAAACTAGATTCATGCAAATAAAACACTCTGAGTATTAAAGAGGCCTACTGAGGTTTTATGGATAGGAAGAGAGCTTAGAAAGAGGATGAATGAAAACAGAACAGTGGAGCAGCGATTGTATTTGCATAGGGGAAATTTAATGATTGGATCAAGTGGTCCTTAGTATGTCTTAACATAACTGATCATAGGGCCTTGGAAATTGGGAAGTTGGCCAAGGTTATGTTCTCAGGTGGACGCCACTTCCTTTGTTTCTTAAAGCATCCACATCTGCCACTTAAAAACAGTATTTCGCATTGTATATACATAACATGATGGTGCTATTATTTTACTAATAACCTAGTAAACACAGACATATAAT